TGGTACTTATAGGAGGATTGCATCAGATTGGAGAAAGCTTCAAGCCGAATTTTTAAAGATAAGTTCCCTAGATAGAAAAATGGTAATCTAGAATTCTAGGCAGACACATGTAGAAAGGCATGAAGCTATGAAAATTATGCAGTGTCTAAAGGTTAATTTTCTCTACATAAAATAGCATTTCCACAGTAATTAGTGCTGCTTCTTTTGCAATTTATAAATAGAAGAGGCAGTTTAGAATGCCAGAAACTAAAGACCTAGTCTTTAGCTGTTCCTCCTTCAGATATTTCTTTCATGGGATAAGTTTAGTGTTAGGCCAAAATATATCACTGGTTTCTATTCAGTAGTTTCTTTTGCATGTTGTATAGCTGTTTAATAGTCTTTGCCAGCAATAATAACATCATCCTGTAGTCCAACCTTTCTTTAAGTTCGATGTGCTAACAGAAAGCAGGCGGTTTGTTTTTATATTGTCTCAGATTGGGACTAAAACATTTGATTTCCTTTGTTTAAATCTGTTTTTTGTCTTCTCGTTCTGTTTTCCCTATAGATGCTGAACTACCCTTCCACAATCAGACTAGGAGCCAGAAGGAGAATAGAAACATTTTCTCTCAAAACATGCCTCCAGCAGAACTTTTCCCCTTTGTTTCCAAGGCCTTGGCTTGTCTCATCATTTCCAGTGTGTATGAGCAAGACACAATATTATCACGCTTCCCCATGCAGCTTTAAGAAGAAGCAAGAGCAAGCAGTACTTCCAGCCAGGCCACCACAAACCTTCAGTTACCTGCCTGACAGCCCAAAGCCAGCATTATACATAACTTTGGCAGGATTAATCCCCTTCATTGCTCCACCACTGGTCATGGTGATGACAAAGACTTATATTCCCATATTAGCTTTTACTCAGATGGCTTATGGAGCCAGTTTCCTATCTTTCTTGGGAGGGATCAGATGGGGTTTTACTCTGCCACAAGGTAGTCCAGCCAAACCAGACTTCCTCAATTTAGCTAATAGTACAGCTCCTGTTGTGTTTTCATGGCTTGCGTTCTTTGTTTCTGAAAGACTCCGTGAAGCTATAGTCATAGTAATAATAGGTTTGGGGATAGCATTACACACTGAACTTTTTCTCTTGCCACATTATCCCAATTGGTTCAAAGCCCTGAGGATAGTAGTCACTTTAGTGGCCTTTTTTTCATTTGTAATCACTTTACTAGTTAAAGATTTTTATCCAGAGAAGGGACCCAAGAGACTTAGGCAAGTAGAATAAATATAAAACTACTCTGTAGATGACGTTAGCATGTTGGCTAGAAGCCTTGTAAGGTTGTGTTTTGGCATCACCTTTTTCTACCTCTCCAGTTTAGCTCTTTTTTCCCACCAGTGGTGATTTATTCTTCCAAAATTATTTTTCATTTCTAGAAATCTTTATTTTATAAGGAATCACTGAGAAACAGCTTGAAAACCCTTAACAAGTCCTTTTCATGTTATATTAGGTTATAGTTCTCATTCAGTCTTTATGAACTTTGTAGTCATCCACTTAAAAATTTCAATGTTTTAATTGTTTTGAAAAATGTAAATTAAAAGATGGAAAACCTTTGTGCTAGAGCTTTAGGATCATTGAAAACACACACACACACACCCTCAAAGGAAAACTTCGTATCCATGAGTGTCTGAAAATAATAGGTGGCTCCAGTGTGGAGTTTTCATTGCAGTTGCCCCTGGGAATTGCATTTCCAAGCTCTTTTTACCTGGCACAACCTAGTTATTTGAACTGAAAGGATCTGTGGCCCTAAAGTCAGTAGGGAGCAGTGTCACGAGGGAAAACTATGTTCAAAGAAAAGCTAGACACATTTTCCAGGTTTTACCAGGATATTTGGCAGAGTATAGATGAAACTTATCTCCAAACATAACACCAGCTGGTCAAAGATAGTTAAATAGTTAAAAGAATAAAGCCTCTAGGATATACAAACTAGGAAAAGTCAAGCTGGAGACATCTTAATGTTCTATCTAGTTTTGCATGTCAACTCACACAAAAGCTTTTTTAAAACAGTAAAAGCAACACCTTGAATTCTAACTTTAAAACTTAGTCTTTTGAGATGCTTAGTCTCATAAAAAAGGAGAAACATTTTCAATGTTACAAGAATTTAAATCAGGAAATGGTATCATCTGGTATACGTTACCTTTGTATAAGTATTCGAATATTAGGTAACTTAAATTTCGTAAGTAAATTATATACATATAATTTTCACTTTAATGATTCTTGCTGTGGAAAGATCATAATCTAGAGTGGTAACTTGTTTACTTTGTTACACACCTGTTACAAGATTTTTTTATGAATTGTGTGTTCAAGTCCTAATCCACGGCATCTCAGAATGTGACCTTACTTGCAGATAGGGTCTTTACAGAGTTATTAATAAGGTTAAAATGAGATTATAAGGGTAGGTTGTAATGTAATATTACTGGTGTTCTTATAATGAAAAATGTAGAGATAAACACATATACAGAGAGAATACCATGTGAACATGAAGATCTACATGCCAAGGAGAGAAGCATTGAACAGATCCCTCCTTCTTAGCCCTCAGAAGGAACCAACTCCACCAACACCTTGACTTGAGGCCTCCAAAACTGTGAGACAATAAATTCTGTTGTTTCAATTTCTGTGGTACTTTGTTAAAGCAGCCCTAGCAAACAAATATAACACTATAGAGCTAGAGCTTGTTCTGATCATTAAGAAGCTTACCAGTTAAAAGCCTGTGGCTGAAATCACCACACGATCCTTTATTAATGTAGAGAAAAGTTTACTACAGCTTGATACTGAAGGAAAGAAAGCTCATACTCTTCAGAAGATCCTTCTCAGATCCTACTCAGATTGTTTCAGTGAGGAAAATTACTTCTTTGCTTCTCTTAAATTGCATGAGGACTGCACAACCTTAAAACTTTTCTCTGATCTCAATCTTTCAGAATAGGGGCAAGTCATATTTTTAGGCTAACTGCCCACTTATTTTTTTTTTTGCCCATGCCACAAAGCATGCAGGATCTTAGTTCCCCGACCAGGGATTGAACCCATTCTCCCTGCAGTGGAAGCTCTGAGTCCTAACCACCGGACCACCAGGGAATTCTCTACAGTGTGCGATTTTTAAGTACATTGGACAGGATATTTAGAAGTATATTGAATTGTTAAATATTTTGGAGGAAGATCACGTTAACAGTTGCTCAGAAAACAGAATGTAAAACTAAATGTGCAAGTCCTTAAAGTTGAAACACTAAAAATCATGGGCAGTCCTACTATACTTTGATAATCCAGGAATGCTGCTAATAAGCTAAATTAATTAGTAATACAAGAAAAAGCAAAGAAATCAAGATACTTTATTAGTACATTCTTTTTAAAACAATCTGTCATTACGTAGGAAATAAGCATATTTATAATTACTTATTTTCAGGCATCGTCTGGACCTATTAGGCCCAAACACTGATTGTGTTGACTACATTTCTGCCACAGCAGTACAAAATGCTTCCCTTCATAGTGCCATTTTAGGTTGGCATCAGGCAATAATGAAAATTAAATAATAGGAAAATTCGTAAATCTCTTGAACCAGAATGCAGATTCTCTTTAACTAGAAATATTAAAGGCACATGAGTTACAGCTTAAATAGTTTACAAATTATCTTGATACTTCATTCCTTGACATTTTACAGATCCCAGCCAGGCATCTGTGACCCTTCAGACTTTCGGGGTACCCCAAAGAATGGGACACAGAGCTTTCTGTCTGCACTACGTAAGCTTTTCTTAATATATGCATATAGTTAAGTTATGAAGGAAAGTATCTTTGTGAGTCTATCCAAATATTTTGGATATGAGTGCTGCCTGAGTCTTTAATGCTTACTAAAGGTTTTCTATCTAAATCAGCCACTGATGCCTATAATATACTGGAGGATTGTACAAAAAAGGGGAAATCAGGGATATACAAATCAAATCCTGGAACAGCCAGGTAAACCTAAATGTATAAGACCTTTAATATATATGGCTCCAACTGACTAGTAGAAATAATTTAAAAGTGATGATCATGTACACAAAGAATCTTCGTCTCAGAAATGAACAGAAAACAATTCTTTAGAATGCTTCTCAGGGAAAATGAGAAGTTTTGAGAAGCAGTTTTGGGTCAGAGGCCTTTCAGCGTACACTTATGAGTTAGTGTCTGTAAAAAGTTTTACAGGTACCTACAATTCCATCTTCTCCAAGCCAGGCAGCAGCTTTGTACTAAACTCATATTTAGGCTTGCCCAAGTGTGAGTATGCTTTACCAAGCTTGATAATCTAATAAATTCCCTCTTCCCAAAGCTAAACGTATTTTTGGTGACTATTTAGAAAAAGGTGCATTCAACCTGCTGGGCTCTTATCACCCATTACATCATCCTATTGCAATAAAGGACTGTCACTAAGAACCTCCTATTAATTCCTCACCTGCATTCCGAAATCAAGACAAAACCATAAGTGAGCAAAAGCTTTTTTTATGCTGTTATCAACAGGTGAAAACATATATATATAAATAGCTAGATATTTCCCACATGTCCCTCCCAGTTTTCCTGCTGTTAAAATGTTTGGGACTAGTGAAAACTCCTGGAATAAAATAAAAGTAGGAAGTTGCTTCATTGGCTTTTCTTTGTAGGGTAAACTATGACCATGGAAAATTGCACTCTGGATTGAATCATGAATGTATAGATATCTTTAAACTGTCTCATTGATATTCTTAAATGACACAATGGTCATGTTACAGCTTAACTGCACTGGAGAAGCAGCTAAAGGGACTATTTGCCAAGAAGCTTCTGGCAAATCATTTTTACAAATAGGACTCTACTCCTAATTGGACAATTCTAGAGCATAAACAGCATATCTACTGGTAAGCTTGGCAAGTTTGTGTGAACTCTTTATTGATTTAGGATATATCCATATCGCTTCTCACTCAAATTCTTTTAAAAAAATTATTTTTTACTCATTTATCTATCTATTTGTATCTCATTTATCTACCAAATTCACAGAAAACTCAACAGATGAAAGGGTCCTATCACCAAACACAAGTGTGATTTGCAAAAGGTGAGATCCTGTATTTTCAAAATGTTTCCTGTGCTCTCTTATGCTTACTATTTCATAGTACAGCAATACCTCCTTCACAACGACTGGTGATCATGTTACCAATTTCTGTCCATGTATCTGAATGAGGGTTATAAACTTCAACTGAGTCCAAGGTACCTGGGGCCAAGAAATCGTGGCTGGAAGATCGACCTCCAGAAACATACAGAAGCCCGTTGACTGCCACAGCACACATGCCTGCTCTAGGCACTTTCATTGAAGCAACTTCAACCCACTTTTCCTGGATAAGAGAAAAAAAGAAGTTAGCAGTGCCATAACATGGTAACAGAGAAAAGTGCTGAGAAATTAGATACTCTGGTTCTTTTTAAAAATTTTTATTTATTCTTTTAATATTTATTTATTTAGGCTGTGCCGGGGCTTAATTTCGGCACGCGGGGATCTTCGTTGCAGCACTCGAGATCTTTTAGTTGCGGCATGCGAACTCTTAGTTGTGGCATGCATGTGGGATCTAGTTCCCCGACCAGGGATGGAACCTGGGCCCCCTGCATTGGGAGTACTGAGTCTTACACACTGGACCACCACGGAAGTCCCTCTGGTTCTTTTTACATGTTTAAATTTCAAACTCACAATCGGTCATATAAGTATATAGAACATTTTAAACTGAAGTTTAAAGTAGTGAATTTAGAGGAAAGTAATGAAAAATATATCTGTGATTAATTATAAATTATGGTCACCAGGAGATAATCTAGAAATTTACCAGGGAAGTCTGGAAGGACTTTTTAAAATCTTTAATATAATAGGTCTTATAAATCTCCAAGAGAACAATACAGTAAACAACACTGGCCAAATTTATTCAAACATGGATTCCTTTTTTCAAGGACCATCTGGTGCAGTTAGTAATTTGCAAAACATATTTTCAGAAAGGCAGTACAGATTAGGCATTGGAAACTAGGGCCTATTTTTGTAAGCCTACAAACTAAGAATGATCTTTCCATATTAAAAGGTTATTTAAGGGACTTCCCTGGTGGTCCAGTGGCTAAGACTCCATGCTCCCAATGCAGGGGGCCTGGGTTTGATCCCTGGTCAGGGAACTAGATCCTGCATGCTGCAACTAAGAGTTCACATGCTGCAACTAAAATCCTGTGTGCCACAACTAAAGAACCTGCATGCCACAACTAAAGATCCCGCATTGCTGCAACTAAAGATCTTGCATGTAGCAACGAAGATCCCACATGCCGCAACTAAGACCCAACACAGCCAAATAAATAAATAAATATTTTTAAAAATGTTTTAAAAAAAATATATATGGAAAAAGAAGAGATTGTATGTGGCCCCCAAGGCCTAAAATGTTTACTATCCGGCCTTTTAATAGAAAGTTTGCTAACTCCTGGTATACATTATTCACTGAAGAAATTTCAATAAGCTGCTATATCCAAAATGACTGTAAAGTCTTACTCCAGGGAAAATGTCTATACCCAGAAAACAGGAAAGCTAATAAAGTTCCTGAGAAATAATCAAGAGAGAAAAGAAAAAGTTTCCAGATTAAAAAAAAAGAATCTGAAAATAAAGCATATGATGCACAAAGTTTATAAAGTCATAAAAGATGAAAAAAGATTATTCATCAGTGCTAGAGAGTGAACTTTTTGAGGAGAGCAACTTAATGAGCTTCATATCCCGGTACCCAGTATAGAACCAGCACATTATAGATGCTGATCTGAACTTAAATGAAATTCTGAAATACCAACACCAGGGACAATCCTTTGAAATTGAAGGACCATATTAAACTTGAAGGCTATTTGATTATATGAAATTACAGAATACATCACAAAGTTTTCACAGCTGAAAAAATACTCATTTTAAAAGATAGATATATTCACAAAAATACCTATAGCTGGTTAAGATAAATCAGGATGTTGGGTTTATGTTTATCATTAGGGAGAGCTAACCTTTGCTCCCCTACAAAAATGGCTCTGGACAAGAAGAGTAAGGGAATCATGGGGCTCATTCAGTAATGTTTATCTTTCATTTCTATCAGTGTATTAACTACAATTTGCTTTTTATTTTGAGTCCCCTCAAAATAAACTCTGTAAAACCAGAAACATGTTTTACATTATCTTTAGGGTTTGAATCTATAATGTAGGACTTTAGTAGACAGTAAATAACAATAACATTTCAGATTTATGCATGAAAAACCAAGGTAACATTACTGATAAGCACTTAACTTTGAACTGAAAATCTATTCATGTTTAGCCATAGAAAAACATTAGCAAGAGAAAGCGCCCTCAGAAAGTTCACTTTCTCTATTCCCCCCATATAATGGAGACCAATTAGAAAGTGAAAGGAACCTGAAATATCACTAAAGTTTGAAACTTGTCACACATGAGAATCAAAATTATGCTTTACAACAAAACAAAAATTCTACTTTTGCCATTTCTATTCAAGATTATACTGGAGGGTCTAGCAAGGGCAATTAGTAAAGAAAATGAAATAAAAGCCATCCAGATTGGAAGGAAAAAATAAAATGATCTCTAATTATAGATGACATGATCTTGTACATAGAAAATCCTAAGGAATCCACAAAAACATATTAGAGTACAAGTGCTGCAAGGTTTCAGGATATAAGATGAATATACAAAAATTGATCAAATTATTATACACTAGGAATGAAAAAAGCTGAACATGAAATTAAGAAAATTCAATTTATAATAGGATCAAACATAATAAAATATTTAGGAATAAGTTTAACCAACAAAATGCAAGATACTGAAAACTATAAAACACTGTTGAAACAAACTGAAGAAGACCTAAATAAATGGAAAGACATCCCATGTTCAAGATGAAAAGACCTAATATTGTTAAGATGGCAATACTCCCCAGGTTGATCTCAGATTCAATGTAATCCCTATCAATACCCTGCTGGCTTCTTGGTAGAAACTGACAAGCTGATCCTAAAATTCATATGGAATTCAAGGGACCCAGAACAGCCAAACCAACTTTTAAAAAGAAATTCCAAGTTGGAGGACTCACAATTTCTGATTTCAAACCACAGAGCTACAGTAACTAAGACAGTGTGGTAATGGCATAAGAATAAACATATAGATAAATGAATAGAATTAAGGGTCCAGAAATAAACCCTCACATTTATGGTCAACTGATTTTCAACAAAGATACCAAGACAATCAAATGGAAAAGAGTCTTTTCAACAAATGGTGCTGGGACAACTGGTTACCACATGTAAAAGAATGAAGGTGGACCTCTTCCTCACACCATATACAAAAATTAACTCAAAAATTAATGAAAAACCTAAATATAACTGTAAAACTTAAAAGAAAGAGTAGGCATAAATCTTCATGATCTTGAATTAAGCAACGGTTTCTTAGTTATAACACCAAAAGCACAAGCAACAAGCGAAAAAAATAAATTGGACATTAAAATTAAAAACTTTTGTGCTTCTAAGAATACCATCAAGAAAATGAAGAAAACCATAGGATGGGAAAACAATTTTGCAAGTCATATATCTGACAAAGGACTTGCATCTAGAATATATAACGAACTCATATCTCAGTAATAAAAAGACAAATAATCCATTTTAAAATGGACAAAATTAGAACAGATTTTTCTTCAAAGAAGGATAAATGACCAATAAGCACATAAAAGATGCTCAACCTGGGCTTCCCTGGTGGCGCAGTGGTTGAGAGTCCGCCTGCCGAAGCAGGGGACATGGGTTTGTGCCCCGGTCCGGGAAGATCCCACATGCCATGGAGCGGCTGGGCCCGTGAGCCATGGCCGCTGAGCCTGCGTGTCCAGAGCCTGTGCTCCGCAACGGGACAGGCCACAACAGTGAGAGGCCCGCGTACCTCAAAAAAAAAAAAAAAAAAAAAGATGCTCAACCTAATTAGCCATCAGGAAAGTACCAGTCAAAACCACAATGAGATACCAGTCCACACCTACTAGGTCAGCTATAATAAAAAAAAAGATAAATAATAAGCATTTGATGTAGAGAAATTAGAACCCTCATCTACTGCTTATGGTTATGTAAAATGGTATAGCCCCTTTAGAAAACAACCTGGCAGTGCCCCAAAAGGTTAAACATAGAGTTACCATATGACCTAGCAATTCCACTCCTAGGTATATTCCCAAGAGAAATGAAAACACTCAGTCCACAAAAAAAAAACATGTACACAAATGTCCATAGCAGCACTGTTCATAATGGCCAAAATACTGAAACAACTCAAGTGTTTGGTTTGTGAATTATATTTCAATAAAAAAATATAAAAATAAAAATCCTTTCTACTTAAAAAGAGAAAAAAGTAAATTTAAAAATCTTTAGGTTTTGAATGTTTTAATAACCAAAACTAGTTTAAGAACCATAAAATTCAAATAACACTAACTCATATTTCATAAAATATGTTCCCTGAAACACTTTTCTTCCCCAAGATGTTTCACAAACAAAAGCAACGGTTGTGTGGTCAATTAAATTTGAGAGACTTAGCATAAAGATTCATGAGGTACATTATTTAATAAATTGTGTAGGGGCTTCCCTGATGGCGCAGTGGTTGAGAATCTGCCTGCCAATGCAGGGGATACGGGTTCGAGCCCTGGTCTGGGAAGATCCCACATGCCACGGAGCAACTGGGCCCGTGAGCCACAACTACTGAGCCTGCGCGTCTGGAGGCTGGGCTCCGCAACAAGAGAGGCTGCGACAGTGAGAGGCCCGCGCACCGCGATGAAGAGTGGCCCCCACTTGCCACAACTAGAGAAAGCCCTCGCACAGAAACGAAGACCCAACACAGCCAAAAATAAATAAATAAATTTATAAAAAGTAAATAAATAAATAAATAAATAAATAGTGTAAAGAAGTCCTGTAAGAAACATATTCAACTTTGTTTAATCCAACTTTCCGTAAGTATAACTGACCAGGGCAACTCGTGTTACCAAATTCCTATTAACAATGCAAAAAAATAGTATTCCATGGCAATTAATTTGGGAAAAAATTGGCTAACCTATAAGTCTATGGCATAACACACCTTGTACTTCCATTATCCCAGCACTTAATAAACTGTAATGCAATTGTTTGTCTATTTATTTCTCTACATTCCCCACTAGAATGTAGGCTTCTTGAGAGCTGGGGCCTTATATATTTAGTTTGCCTTTGTTTCCCCAGGTCTGTAAGTATTTGTGAATGAATAAATGGACTAATAAACAAATGCATGGTAGAACAGTGACTCAATGAAGATACAACCTACTTTCTCTTCTTTTCCTAGCATAATTGCATCAACC